AATTTTACGCTCAAATGCCTGTGTCGATCGCATGCTATCGGGGACATATCACTCCTCTGTGTTAAATGTCAACTTTTAACACATTATTTATTGATTTTTACTTCACTCTGCCTGGGGTGTGCGACAGACTTACCTCGACGTGGTGCACCCTGGGCAACGTTTTCTCATACGGCTAAAAGTCTATTAACCCGCAGTTAACTTCTGACTTCAAACTACCATCACCCCCACTGTATGTCATATTTGACAACTTCCACAGTAATCACCTCACCTTTGCTCAACCTTTGTGTCTGTCTCTTACATCTTCGAAACACTCTTCTGTTCCCCCCCCCTCTCGACTTTTTTTCAATTTTATGTTCCTTCCCCTCTGTGAAGCCTGAAGTCAACCAAAGGGCTAATGATAACCATCGAGACGCCTGCCATTTGATATAAATAACTTCACTCTGCCTTGTAATTGGGCCAGTGAATGTGTTTTTTCATTGTACTTATCGCGGTTCCCATGCCCACTGTGATCCGCGCTCACTCGATCTCTCGCCGCATACATCCCCCCCATCGCTGTTATACACTGCAATTAGGACAACAATCAAATCTTGAATTGCTAATTTGAAAAGACCGATCATCCTACATTCAACTGACTCAAGTCACTGGAACTTGGGTCTAGAGAAGTGCTATCAAAAAGTCACTATTTCTCGATTGGTCCACTCTTTCAAATACACTAGAATTATTTGCATATTCACAATTCCTGACAACCTCGAAAAAAGTTTAAGTGCACTTACCATCAGCAGTTCGAAAGAATGAGAGTGAGGATAGTGGACTGCGTCCGTGTCGATTCTGAGCACTCATAAGAAGGAAATATGGCTGTCCGGTTCGAAGATGATGCACCACGGTGGAGTTTTGACCNGACTTCTGACTTCAAACTACCATCACCTCACTGTATATCATATACGACTGCTTCCACAGCACTCATCTCACCTTTTTTCTACTTTTGTGTTTGTCTCTTACATCTTTGAAACACTCTTCTGTTCCCCCCTCCCTCTCGACTTTTTTTCAATTTGATGTTCCTTCCCCTCTGTGAAGTCTGAAGTCAACTAAAGGGCTAATGATAACCATCAAGACGCCTGCCATTTGATATAAATAAATAAATATTTCAGCGTCATTCCATACTCCCATTCAACTCCCCTTTCCATTATTAAATTAATCATTAGTCAATCTTGCAACCCCACATGTTCAGTTTCTAAACCGTAAGTAGAAGTTCCAATTCTTATCAATGTTGTAATTTGAAAATAATGCAAGCTTTTCTCCTATTTCATTCCATATAATAATACCCGACAATAATAGTACTTTTTTTTCAAAATCGACTCATAATAAAAGCTGCAGTCTGTTATAAAACACACCAATTCAAATTCGAATACGGAGGCACGATTTCTTAGGAATTATTGCGCTACGTGCTTAGCGAGCCTAGTTATTTAGTCAAATATAACCCTGCACGTAAACAGATGTACAGCTTGGTTCGTCTAGAATAGCATATAATGATCTGTCGTAAATTTAGATAAACTGAAAGTTCAACTGAGTAAAATATAGTCTTGAAATATAATAAATTCATGGAGCGTTTAAGTCATTCTAAAGTAGCAGATTTAGGCGTTCGCCGCTAAACCAGTCACCAATCGGAAAATCGATATTTTATAATTCAATAATCACTCAAATCCCGAGGCCAAAACGATAGAAGACCTGCAGGGAAGAATAAACAAAAGTTGCTCGTAGAAATTCGTGTAGATGGAGAATGGATGATCATGATGGACTTGGTTAGCCAATAACCGAAGTGCAAGTGCATATCTGCATGCGAGCACAAAAATCCATTGATCGATGATCAAGTGAGCCTGGGATGAGGTAGTTATTAATCTGGGGATGCGTAATTGACTTACCTCCACGTGGTGCACTCAGGGCAACGTCTACACATACAGCAAAAAAAGTCTACAAATCGACAGTTGACTTTTGACCTCAAGCTACAATGGCCACTTCCACAGTACTCATCTCTCTTTTTTCCCTGTCTTTGTGTCTGTCTGTCTGTCTGTCTGTCTCTTTTACATCTTTGGATCTCTCCTCTGCTCCCTCTCAAATTTTTCTCACTTTGATGTTCCTCCCCTCTGTGAAGCCTGAAGTCAGCTAAAGGGCTAATGATAACTACCAAAATGCCTGCCATTAGATATAAATAAATAATCAAGTGAACCTGGGATGAGGCCTCAGCTCAAGGGTCCTAATAATATACGATTTCCTTTCCCAAGGCACTTTAAGTCTAGACACATGAATGGCCATGGTAATCAGGCATTTCATGGCCAATCTTGAAACGAAATGCACACCCATTTCCTAATAATTCCTTGAAATAAATTGACCAATCGTTAGAAAGGAGAAATGAACCACGTTATGCATATTCTTCATTAACATTTCAGCAAGGGGACAACTATATTAACTATAATTTGTTTCTTCTTCGCCAATTGTGAGATTTTAAAAGATATATGTGTGGAAAGATTGTAACCATGGCAAAAACTCCTAAGTTTAAGTCATAGGTAGGTATTGAAATAAGGAATAAGGTAACGATGTATGGGCATCAAGAGTCCTAATTCCTATTCTCATAGGAAGTAATGTTGCAAAACAATGCTTTGCTTTTCAAATCTCAATTGATTTACATAAGAATATAACAAAGATATTCACATCTCGTAGGAGGCGTATTAACCTTCGTGATTGACAACTCCGACTGGCGCTATTTGTGTCCAATAGCAGCCATGAGTAGGTGGTTAGTATGAATTACTCCATATCTCCATACAATTTAAAATTGAAGAATCAAAAGAAAACTGCCATCTCTAACCTACATTAATGAATATGTGTTTAAGAAGGAGAGAAAAACTAACAGTACCAAAGCAAATGACTTTCAGGGTGATTCACCTGTATAAATAACTGCACCGAAATGGAACGGATAGAGACTTAGATACAGGATAATTGTGCTGGACAATTGTGAGAGAAAGTTATTCCTCATCTCATAGGCCTGTCGCTTTGAGTGTTGATGAGAGTTGACACTTGCTGCACCTGCCAACACTTGTCAATACATGTAATCCCATCATTTTGAACCCAAGTGAACGGAGCAGTAAATGTGCAACCGTATCCGACATCAAGTTCACACACAACCTTCCACACGCACACACACAGAAAGAGAAATTTCCTGGGACGCGTCACTTGACTGCGAATGAAATATATGAAATATAGTTGACAAAAAAGGTGATCTAAACAAAGCAAGCAGTGCTTTTGCTTCCACCTTTCATGGAAAATGTAGGATTGTTTGCTGGAATTAGGGCAATTGGTCACATAGTCCAAGGGAGAGATGGAGGTTACCAGAGCATGAGTTCTTCTTCCTGAAGTTCTTTTGACTCATTACGCACCTATGTTCACCTATTTTGATCAGTTTGATCATAATAGTTTTAAAGGGAACTTTCTAAAAACCTCCCGCAACTGTCTTGCCTTGTGTTTATACCAATCATTAGGTGCACAGCAGCGTGAACTAAGCCTTGGGACTTTTGGCATTGCAAAATGGAAATATTATCCGTTGCCACAAAGGAGTGAGCATTTCAGGTCGCAAATTTTCACTTTTTTTATATTTTTTTACTGTCAAAATAAAGTTAAATGATGTTATCTGATGTGATGCAATAAACTAGCGTGAGCATGAATTGTCCCGCCTTGAAAAACGCCATGAGATCTGCTCAGCAATTGAGTTCTGGCTACCCTCAAAAAGTGAGGTGATCTAACTCCCTTCATCTTGCAGGATCAATTTTTAAATAAATCTTGTACTATTTTGAAGTGATGTGTCCTGAAATAGTAGCAAGTATGAGGGATGATATCTTGGCTAGATTATTCAAAAAAGTCATTAGATCACCATAAGAGACTAACTCCACTCATTGCAAACAAAGAGAAAGGTTTATTGAAATGGGCTTCCACTCCAAAATACCACAAATAAACAAGAGGATGACTGAAAAAAGGACATTGTTCGACATTGCTGTGGGTTAAAATAACATATTTATTTATATCAAATGGCAAGCTTAATGATAGTTATCATTAGCCCTTTTGTTGACTTCGGGATTCACAGAGGGGAGGAGCTTCAAAGTAAGAAGAAGTCGATTCACAGATGTAAAAGAGACAGTCACAAAGGTGAAGAAAATGGTAAGATGAGTACTGTTGAAGTGGTCAAAGATGGCATAGAGATGGGTCATGGTAGCTTGAAGTCAACTGTCTGTTTATAGACTTTTTTGTCGTATGAATATACGTTTTCCAGGGTGCACCACGTGGAGGATTATAATAAAATAATAAATGGGAGTTGAAGCATGTGTGTTTTAAGAGAATTTTGTAAAAGGTGGAATAGGTGAGCTAAAAGAGGAAAAAAAGTACCTTCAAGAGGTCACTGGAAATCTCTGAGCTCCAACCACACATTCGTACAACACAATGTGATTTAAAGCAAAGATTGAAGGCAAATAATCCCTAACACTTCTAACTCCCCGAGATTCGCGTCAAAAGAACGAAAATTCACCCCCCCCCTCCCTCTCCCCCCCTCTCCTCCCCCTCTCCTCCCTCCATAATAAAAACACAAACCAAACTAAATTGAAGCAAACTTGAACCCTCCAATCTCTCTCTCCCTCTCTCTCACCCTCTCTCCCCCCACTTGCATTCAGATCTCACTTCACCCTTAGAATAGGCAGCAATTCAAAAAAGCTCAACCACATCTCGCCACTTTAATGGAAATCCAAGACGAAAGAAGACAGAAAAATCGCTTTCCACTCCTTCCTTTTTTTGACTTTGACTGATAGAGGGAGGGAGGGAGGGAGGCGGACTTGGTTTTTCCCTCATTCAAAACGTATTTTTTTAGCACAAAATCCGGTGAGCAGAAAAATTGACATTTTATCACACTCACCTGTCAATCTTGCTTGCTCAATTATAAAATGGCAATTTTAACCGACCTGAATTCAGCCAGCACCAGCACTCTGTTGGGTGCCAAATGAGGGGACAAAAAAGCTAATTAAAACAACGAGACAAGTGACTAGCAAGGTAATTGACCAAATGTTTACACTACAACATCTATTTTTTTTTTGAATTCCTTGCTTGTCTCATGAGGCCGGTAATGGCTATGAAACGATTTACTTAAATTAAGACAATCAACAGGCTTTGAATTTTTCGGGGTATGAGATAGTTAGGTGTTACAATGCCAATTATATCCCTCTAAAAGAGAACGTGAACAAAAACTTTATCCTTTCATAATTCAAGCAAAGGAAGACTCCCAGTATTCGGGCTCTATTACGCACCTTTTTCCACGATGAAAAACTACAAGCAATTTTTGCATTACAGTCGCTGGTAATCAGCTTATAGAAGGAAGAAATATGCAATTTTATGCTTTTGACGGAATTACAATTTCTCAAAAATTCCATCGATTAATTTTATTTGTTTGAAATTTTGTAGACAAAAAAACGAAGGATTAAATGAAACACTAGGTAACAGAATCTCTTCCCCTATTTGGATTCCTTCTAAGGTACTCTTGAGAATATCAGTAACATTTCACCAACAATTTCATCAAGCAAGTCTTCAAGGTGAGTTTATTGTTTAGATAACTACTTTCTGCCCCGCGATAAAATAAAAATCTGAAATAATTCGAATACAAGTACGTTTGACTATGAAAAACTCCAAGCAACTACAATTTATCGCCTAATAAAAGTAGTTGTTGTTGAAGTTACAACATCTCCATGTTGTAACTTCTATCACACCCAACTTTGTTCAATTGCCTAAACTGTCAGCATTCGTTTACCGGCAAATGAAAAATTTTGTATTCGGTATGCCGACGTAGAAAGTAGGAAGACAAGTTGTCCGGCACCAGAAAGGCACCGGAATGCTTTTGAGCTTTCATTACTTAATATCCAGATAAGAGGGGTGCCCAATAGACTTACCTCCAAGTGGTGCACCCTGGGCAACGTATGATCATACGGCAAAAAAGTCTATTACCTGGCAGTTGACTTCAAACTACTATGACCCCACTGTATGTCATATTCGACAACACAGTACTCACCTCACCTTTGTTCTACCTTTGTGTCTGTTTAAACTACTATGACCCCACTGTATGTCATATTCGACCACTTCCACAGTACTACATCACATTTTTCTCTAAATTTTTAACCTTCGTCTTAGAAACTCTCTTCAGTACCCCTTCTCTCGACTTTTTTTCACTTTGATGTTCCTTCCCCTCTGTAAAGCCTGAAGTCAACTAAAGGGCTAGTGATAACCATCAAAACGCCTGCCATTTGATATAAATAAATAAATAAATATGCAGATAAGTATACTCCAAAGATTACTTACGTTGACCAGGAGTTTCAAAACCCTGCACCATGCTCCAAAATTTTGTCGGTTCACCAACACGGGAGATGGCACGCACAGCAAACTCATAAACCGTTTCAGGATGTAGATGTCGAAGCGTCACACCAGTGGCTGAGGGGTCAGATATATTCACCAGATTTGGAGGCAACGCTGAGGCCAGGATTGATATGAAATCTCCCTCTGAGTCAGATCTTCGCGTTGCCTGGTAACGCACTTGATATCCCATGATTCCTGAAATATGGGAATCGGGAGGTAGTTCCCACTGAAGTGTTGCTTCTGTCGGAGTTATACGATAGACCAAAAGGTTCACTGGAATTGGATGACTCCTTGAGGCGTCTTGATTGTCTAAAGCATTTGAAAGAAATAAAGAAAGCATAAAGGCCTTGTATAAACAGACCATTCAACTTTCGAGACCAATTGTACGCAATGAAATTACACCAGGAAATGAAGTAAAATATGGATTTCATATATGTGATTCGATGGGAAAAATTTATAAAAAAAAAACACCCCTTCAACCCACCTAGAACCTATCCCAAAAGCAGACTATGAACCTACGAGGATACTGATGCATACTTAGAACACCTGGATATCTAGAAAGACCGGGATAGCTTACGTAATTGACAGATGGGGCTTATCAAATGTCAGGTCATGACTGCGCAACATGGAAACATATGAAATGAAGCCACTTACTGGACATATAATTGACATACCAGGCTGGGAGAGGGGGTGGGGGGGGGATGCCTTTTAGAGAGATGCAGTAATGCACAAATTATTCTCGACACGCTGTAGTGTTTACGATTTAGGCGTGGAAAAGTAAATGAAAAAATTAGTACACGAGAAAAAACAGGAGAAATACGTGATGATGTATAGTGAGTCACCAGCATTGAGAAATAATAGGCCTTGGGACGGTTGTTTCGAATTAGAACAGGCCTAATTGGAAATGTACGCCAGTGATAAATAAATGAAAACAAGTTGCAAAAATTAGCAACTACATAATTTGGCAGCCTAGTCAAAATGCTGAGAAACACGATTAATATGAAAATGCTAGAGGCAAACCTTTTAACTAGGTGCATACATTCGAGTTTCAGGCTAGGCAAAAAAATTACTTTATCGAATATTACTACTACTTCTAGAATAGAGATTTCACACATATAATTGGTCATTTTCTTTCTAACGCTGAAAAACTGCATCAGACATCTATTTGTTTTTTGCATTAAGGGTAAAATTCCATTGCAAAGTCTAAATTATGCCATCTCTTAAGCGATTTTAAAATAATTCATTTCCAGCGGCAAAAATTAAATATATATATATCGATTATTGACTACTGCGCTTGTAAGTCAAACTAAACCAGAATCAGTGCAATGTGGGAATATCGATTAAACAACCCGTTATAATTTCTACTGCCTAGAAAACTTATTTCCATCAATCTTTTCGTCTCATTTTGATGTGGAAGCCATGAAGTTCACGCTGCTGTCCTTCAGTTAAAAGTGGTAAACAAAAAACGAGCTACTGAATTTACTCCTCCTTGCAAGGAAAGAGGAAAGGGATGCCTCAAAAATACAACTCTATGAGCGAGGCTTAGTCACAGGCATAAAAGGGTGATATTATCTTGAATGAAATAGGAAAGGGGGGGGGTGGGGGGGGGGNGGGGAGGAGGGGGGAACTGCTGATACCTTACGAGTTATGAATAATAATCATTATAGCTACAGGTAAGAGAAGATCGATTCATGTCTGTATTAATGAAGTTGAGGTGACACACACTAGACACTAATAATCAAAATTCATCCCGCCATGGTTTCTAGGGCACTGGAGAGAGGGCTATGGTATCCCTGACGTGACAATTGAAAGACAATGGGGGGTGGGGGAGTTTCGATGGTTGTGGTTGACTGCGGCTTTTCAGTGTGATGTAGTTAAATCCTTTACTTGAGCACTTTAAAGAGGCTCCAGGAGCGTCTTTACTAAAAAATGGCTGCTATTAAGAGTGTAACTATTTGTCGTTAGTCTTTTTGATCTGAAACTATTGGTTGTAGTAGGTTTCCGTTTCGGTTTAATAAATAGTTGCAGGGGAAGAAAAGTCATGTTCAAAATGCAAGTAGGTAACTTGAAGATATCAACTAGTGGTCAGATCGTGTTCAACTGATCGTAGTCTGTACATATGCCCTCCTGTGCATCATTTTTGCATATAAGTAAAGCCTTTATAAAATGAAACGGCAAGATATTCCACCTCCTAAATGATCTATTCCACGATTGCGGAAGAGCTCCGATTCTTACCTTTATTTCGATATTTAGGTGTAGACACGGTGTGAGCCAAAGGTCCATCTTCACCAGGTATAATCGCGATCAGACGAAAGTGATAAGGCGTTCCGGCACCTAAAATGAAAATGTAAAAAGGTAAAATTTCACTTCTTATTCACATCTATACAGTGGATAAACTACCTCTGGTATTTCATAAAATGCCCGAAGAAATGCCTGGATGAGAAATCGTCAATTTGGGTGATCGAAATGAGCGGGGGAGGGAGAGAAGGGGAGGGGGAGGAAGGGGAGCTAGATGACGGGGAGCTTGTCACTTTCAAAGCCCAGTTGGGGAGAGACTTGCAGTACACAAGAATATTTCAGATGTGAAACTCGTGTTCAGTCAGCCTTTACTGTGAACAGCTCACTTGGTAATCCATAGTGCTAGGTGTGTACAGGAGGGCATTGATCTTATTACAACTGACTTGGCTGATGACACATTTTTTTCTTACACAACAAAAATAAGTACCTCTATTTTAACGTTTGACAAAAAGATATCTATCTTCAAAATTTCCAAAAAAAACTGAGATGGAACGAACTCAATAAGTTCATCATCATATCCCCCACCCCCCCACCTCCCCCACCTCCCCCTCCTCCACCCACTTAAATCCTATTCTCAATTACCTCCAATTTCATTCGCTTTAAGAAATAGTTATCATTAATTTTGGACTTGAAAATGCAAGGCCAAATGATTATGTAAAAATGCTTCGAGAAACCAGCTGTAATTTCCGTTATTTGTCTCCATCAGACGTCTAATTCAGAGGCTTTGGTTCGGGTAATGAAAATTATGGCCAAACTCTAATTGAAGAGACGGTAATATTGAACTTCGAAGTCCAACTCCCCCCCCCCCCCCCCCCCCCCCCCCNCCCCCCACCCCACCTCCTTCGTTTTGTTCCCACTACCCCCCTGCTTTTGTAATTCAATTAAGACCATACTAAGACCCGTCGTTCAAATCTGCTTCATGTTTTTTTTTCTTGAAACAAAATTATTCTCACCATAAAATTTGCAAGTGGCTCCTCTTCGGATACTCTTAAGTCGCTTACCTTCGAATGATACTTGAAATTAACACTGAGGTACTTAAAATTTGCATTCTTTAGATATGCTTAGACTAGTTAATTGACTTTGAGAGAGACTGCTTATAGACCCATTTATCAGTTTTTAATATCTTGTCTTAGTTGAGCACGGTTGGTCTAGTAATTTTTAGCATATATGTTTACCGAGTCATGGGTCACGAAATCAATGTCAACCTCTGCATATCCAGTGGTGTGAATTACCAAACGCTCTGATTAACACAGGTCAACAGTGGAGGCAGTAGAGGGTGGGTTTCTCGTAGAAATGGACTTGGGAAGTTCAGTATTATTGGGGGAGGGGAATTTTCAACACAACTAAGCAAAATGGACCTCTTCCATTGTGCTATGTTATCAATTACCATTGGCACACGTTCACACCTACAATTGACGGCATTGTTTGTAAATCCTTCACCCAAACGACAAATGGTGTAGAGATTGATTTTTTTCTGCTACATTTTTAAGTAAGTGTGACCACAATGTTGCCCCAAAGGACACTTGGATATATTTCAGTGACAATATCCTCTTTGTTAGTGGCTATCTGCCGTTGCATTACTGAGTTAATGACGCAATCAATCAGACTTACGCAGATTGTGAAGAGTGTAAGAGGAGAACGAGGCACTGATCATTTCCTCAGCTGGTTCCGAATCTCCCTCCCACCAAATGAGCCGAAGCATGACATTGGGCGCCTCTGGAAGATGATTTACACCTTCTCCGCTCTCCACTATCACTTCGTCTTCACTGTCATCTGAGTCACCATCGTACCATCCCACCTGCCTCTGGGATGTGCGTTGCCGACGCCATTTTATGCGCCAAGAGAGACGAATCGCCTTCACAAGCCCCTGTCCACGAAAATCCACGATCTATTCATCGGGAATCAAGAGAACTTACTATAAAATCAAGTCCGATTCAACACTAGTGGCCACTTTCTCACCCCCAACTATTTTCTCTTATCTGTAAGAGGCTACAAATGATCTAAAGGCCATGAATATCTAGTATGTTAAAACAAGTTCTGAATATTGTAGGTATTAGCCCGAGGAGTAAAGCTATGAATTTTGAACACGCGACATCGGGTAATCGAAGATTTCCAGAATTCAAGGTAAGTGGAACATTCTATATTCTCTCTTCAGTATCCACATCTTCTCGATTCACATTCCCATCTCATGCCCACCTAATGGGCCAATGTTTTACCTTATTTAGCCTAAGTTTCCCACAATCTAATCAGAGGGAGTATTTTAATTTCCTTTACCATGTGAATTTATTGATAATTTTGTTGTTTCCATACCATCAAAAGGCAGGCAAATGAGTCCTACATACTCCAGTAGTCCAATAAAATATGAAAGAATAATGCACAAGCGTTGCTTAACTTTGTTGGAATAAATGACAAATGTGGCTGAAACTTTCAGCAGGTGTTAAACACGTTATAAAAGGCGGATGGTCTTCGAGTTGGACAGCTTCAGAAAAATATATGGCCTGTATTATCAGCCCTAATATAACATCTATTCAAACCAAACCAGCGAGGCCTTCAAACTATTTACAATTTTGGCCAAAATTCGCTTTAATAACTCCAAGGCAGTGATCGGATAGGTCATGGTTGATCTCAACTTTATGTAGTGTGTAAATGAAGCAACGTATACTCAAATGGCGAAAAAGTCTATAAACCGGCAATTGTTTTCTGACTTCAAACTACCATAACCCGACTGTATGTCATCTTCGACCCCTATCACAGTACTCATCTTACCCCTTCTGAGCCTTTGTGTCTGTATGTCGGTCTCTTTTACATCTGTGGACCACTCTTCTCTTCCCCCTCACTTTGATGTTCCTCCTCCCCTCCGTGAAGCCCGAAGTCTACTAAAGGTTAATGATAACTATCAAAACGCCTGCATTTGAAATAAATAAATAAATATCTAATGAAAATTTTATTTTTTAAATTAATTAGAGTAAAGCATTTCTAAAAGGACTGCGTTTGTGTATTAAATTCCAACTTTTTCAAAATTCTTTCAAAAACTACTAGCTGCTAAGATTGGACACATTGGACTGCCTTAGCTTATTTTATAGTTAACCCCAAGATGGTGGTCAAATTTTTGTCCAAAATGGAACACAAGTTGATCGAGAAAGTGTTCAGTCTGCGCAGACACATTTAAAAATGCACTTCATTCGTCAATGTTTAAACTGCAAAAGTGCAGTTACTTGTTAGCCTTTTTAAAATGTTGTAATTACGGAATTAAAAAATGATTAATGATATACAACTCCAATTGCCTAACCATCCACGAAAGATAATGAATCAAACAACAGGCTCTAAATATTGCTGTCACAATCGCATTCATGAACTTGGCAGCCAACTTGTGAACCAATAATATCGTAGCAGCGTTGCAAGGAAAATCAAATTACTCTTTAGAGCAGGGAAAACGCATTAGTCCCATGATTAAAAGTACCTAAAACTTCTCTGCCCCCCCCCTACCCCTCTCTCTACTCATTCCTAATGCCAGTGGTTTGCGTTACACTAACCATCTATCGACCAAATTGGTCCTTTTATTCTCTAAATCCACTGAAGAAATATAAACAATGGGATTAGGGTTCAAAATCTTTTTCCGAAGTTTTCTCTACTGTCCACTTTCAGGTTCATGTATCCTCAACGTCTATCTTAGCTTTCATATGCTCCACCAAGGTATTTCAAGAAAGATGAACGCAGTACTCCTGCACAGATATACACAAGGATTAATCTCCAGTCTAGGGGGTATTTATTTGCCAAATATCGATTTGCACACCTATTATTGTACTGCATTTAAGATTGATCGATTTTTTCTCCAAGGGCTCCGATGGGTGTAATCGATTCCAAATGAAGTTAAGTTCAGCACAACCCAGAACCTTTGTGTGCAAATCTAATTTGCTTCTGGAATGTAAAGAGTTGTTGCCCTCTAAAAGCACCTCAGAGGAAGTGATTAGGAGAATTGAAAGCCTTACGAAAAATAATGTTTCAAGGACTCTGTAACATTACCTTTATGATAGGTAAGTTTATTCAAACAGTTGACCTTCAATACACGTAATTTTATAACCACCAACTAGTAGGAATTTGCACTAAATTTTCACCACTTAAGGCTGAAAATCCATAATGCAGTTTTTTAATCACGCACACACTGTTCATTCCTCCCATATTCCAGATGCAAAATTCTTGTTGATTTCAACCTCGTTGGAAAACACATAAATTGCTAAGAGCATATCCCTAAAGTGACGACAATGTGGTGACACCTTGTACATATGCCCCCCTTAAGTAAGTCTACAAGTTGAGCAGTGTTTCAAATTCTGACCAATTGACATGACTCGCTTTCCGCATTAACTTCGTGTCTCCATTTTTATGCATCTTTCAAACACGATAAAAGCTTTGTGTTAGCTAATATGTCAAACCCATAGGAAAAAGCCTACAGAAAACCGTCTTTCTTAACACTTCCTTCAGACGGCTAAAAGAAAAAGCATTGTGAGTTAAGGCGTTGCGTTGACCACATTCTTTCAATCTCTAGAGGTAAAAAATAACACCAAAATTAAACGCCAAAAATCGCGCGTGTGTATGTGTGTCAAACAATAATTTTGTGATCAAACCGTTGAAAGGACCTCTCTCCGTCGACCTCGATGATGGACAACAGTTTACAGAGCTTTTCAGTTCTTATAAAAGCCACAAGAAAATAATTTCATGGACCAAATCTCACAACCCGGTCCTCAGATTATAACCTTCCAGTTATGCCAACACCTGTTCAAATATTACTACTCGTAATACATTTATTAATAAAAGAACAATTTGATACTAGTGTGGAGTTGCCTATCCTGTTGATTACCGTCACTTCACGTAGAAACGTCCAAATTCATGCCGATCAAGACAAAATCTATTTTTGTGATCACAAGGGGTCGAATCGCGTCTCACTTGTGAGAAGCCGTTAAAATCAACTTTGTGGGTTATAATTTGGTTAAGGAGGAACAACGTAAACTTCCCAATCTACCCTAATTATGCGTGGTAAAATGTGTCCAACTTTTTCAAAGTTGAGCGTTAAATATTCCGACACAATTGTCACAGCTATTCACAGGATAATTAAGCATATTGGGAAAAAGTTAAATTTTATGGCAAATGAGGCGAATATGATAAATGTAGCGGCAAGGGAGGGGTGGAGGGGGGGGGGGGGTGAGAAGGGAGTACTCAATTAGGTGACAACTCCCATAAGCACTATTTTCTATGATGGCAGAAGGGACTAAAATTGGTGGCAGGGGACGGGCAGGTGAAGGTATGATTTATGTGTGCTAAACCAGTGAATTTCATGTGATTCATCACATGAATGAGGCACACGCTTGAGGCTAAGGCGCGACAAAGGGTAAGGGTGGGGTGGGGGCGGGGGCTAACGTGGTTTATCTGATGTCTGTGTGTGCTCAGGTGCCAGCCACTCCAAGTCTGACTCGATTTATTGGCGAGACAAATAGGTATTCATTCACGATTGTCGTTATATTGTCATTCGGAGTGAAATTCTTAGAGGTGAGGCAAAGAATCGATTTGGTCTTCCAGTTATTCGCAATAACAATTTCGAGCGATGATTTTTTGCCGAATTTTTTGAATAGAGAACCTGGTTTGAGGAGGTGTGTATCATATTGGCTACCGGAGCTAATTAATTACTTTAAATATCATCGAATTAGACAGCACTGCAGCGAATTCATTTGCGTTACACCACTCTATTGGAGGCAAATGGTGTCTCTACATTTCTATATTAGTTGTTCCTCAAGTGCATAGAGAAAAGTGCCCTAGCGTAGCTCAATTTGGCCCTATTACAACAAGCACTTTTAGCTCATCAATACTGAACGCTCTTTTGTTTTCAGCTGGCCTACCATTTCTCCCTCTCTTCTCTCCTTTCCTCGCATTTGAGGAAAGCCATCCATTCTCAATAGCCTCAGAAAAAAATCATTGGTTTTGTAAGGAATTATCTCTAAAACAGAATCTACTGGGAACGTGCACGCAGGAACGAATATTTATTAAGTTGAACACTCATTGTACAATATGGCATATCCCATTGTTCAACCTTAAATTTCTAATCAGCCTACTTAATAAAATAGGGCATCACATCATGCCCAAAAGACTGACAAGCTATCAATCTGCACGCTTTAAACTTTAGCATCTCATTAATTTCAATTCGTGATAGCCTCTCTCCCCCCCCGGCTATCATTTTAGCTTGTCTAAAAAGCCAAATATGCTTATTTGGAGTAAAATATAGGCATCGACACAACATTCTCTCTCCTGATCAAGCTCGGTCATGTATATTACCGACATCGTGTAACCCCACTCTCAGTATATTTCTAATGCTTGCAAGTTTGTAGAATATTTTTGGAGCGCAAAAAAAGGGAATGGGAGGGGAGAGTAGAGTAGAGTAGAGTACTTTTCTTTGTATCCAACTCAACTTTTCTTCCGCCGGAATGACAAATGAAATTTGTGCCTCGAATTTCAATTGTTGGGCCTAATTTTGGGGCTTTTTACCGGTTGGCACTGTTTGTTGTTGTGACCATGAGGAGAGAGGAGGTAAAGACTGTTATGCCAGCCTCAAATTCCTATTTAAACTCTTCTCTACACACGAGGAGTTTAAATAAATGTCAATTATTGATAACGGAAGAATAAAATGGCGTAGCGGTGACGGATTCAACAAATATTGACCCTCATTGGAAATTGCAGATGCCAAAATGTCTGTTGAAAGCACCAGAGACTTGACTACCAAGGAGAGAAGACAACTTCCCTTTTCTCCACAGATTGGATGGCAGTTGTAAAAATAGTTCTTCTCTGTTACCTCAAGGAAAATACTGACTTGGGCAATTTACAGCGAAATTCGAACTAGAATTAACACTAAACTTAGTAAGAGATATGTGAATTAAAGTGAGTTGACTTTTTATGCCAGACGGTGTGATTTAAAATGCCATTCATCAAACCTCTATTCTCATTTGTCTTCGGTGAAAATACGCGCGGAGAAATTAAATTATTCAGCGACGAAGTGGTGGACTGGCCCTCTGAAATCGGGACACCATGTAAAGAAATGAAAGTCGGGGGGGGGGGGGGGTTAAAATTTAAATTAATTTGATGAGACGTGTGAAATCAGCATTTGAGGGGGGAGGGAGGGCGGGGTGACATGTGTCTATGATGTAGTTCTCTGTTTGAAAAGCTTGTCGTTGTCAAGCGCCAGTTTGAAAGTTTTTGTTACTTTTTGTAGGAATCAAATTGTAAATAGCAAAATACCCTTACTTGTCATTTAAAGCTATATTCGCTGGCTAAAAGGGGAAGAAATTGGACAAAAGTACGATAAACTTTAACCTTTCCTAGTGGATATATGTCAATTGTTATGGATAAAATTAAACCAGTCGGCTAGCATGCAGGAAGAAAAGCAGACAAATTTGAAAGTTGAGGTCAATGAAATGCCGCGACCACTGGACTTTACGGTCACCTTTCATTGTGTTAATGGAAGTATGCTCACCGACAGACCAACATAGGGTAACCCATGAGCAAATTAAATCTCATAATAGAATACCTTTTCAACGCTGTTTTCCGTTGTGTGTAAGGCGTTTTGTCTATTCTTCCTTCTAGATCTAACCACCATGCCAGTATATCCCTTATAAAGCCATAACGTGTTCAGTTTGTTTCCCAAATGTGTGTCGCCTACTTATAGAGGGCAAATCGACTGGAAATGCGTGGAAGGGGAAAGTTTATTCCCCGCCTCTTTCACTCCTCTTCCTGCATTTAAGCACATTTTCCACTGTGATAAGCCTTTTGGATTAGAGGCGTTTTTTGCAGCCTTCTTTGCCCTTCCTCCAATTTTAACTTTAAAGTAGGCGCGCGCGAGAAAGAGATAAAACGGAGAATACGGGCGGAAAGAAAAAAAAAGTGGGAAAGGTGACGATTTACCCTCATTTGCGATGAAGGAGATGGAACAAAAAGAATCCCTCTAAGGGCGTATCTGAGTCAGAGCTCTAATGAAGAGAAAACTATGGCTTACACGTACTTTGAGAAAACCACTTCCTGATTCCATATGATATCCCCCCCCCCTCCCCAAATAAATATAGGCCAAATTATAAATCATCTTTATATTTCCAGGGCAAAGATGAAGGATGCTTTAGAAAGCAGAACTATCAAGTTGTAATATCAGGGTGGTTTGAACAAGAGCAGTCGGTGAGTCATAGCATTAAATGCAGCGTCTAGTGGCCCTGAATTAGGGGTACAATGCCCATCGACTCTAAAATTTGTTGAATGATCTGATGGCCAGGTCAGATATGATTGAGCTGGCTTGCTTGAACGCTGATGCAATGCCTTCTTCTTCTTCCAAAACTACGTAAGTTGAATAAAGATGAAACATAAACAATGAATATTCATTAGCGCCATTGCAATCTTCTATATTCAGCAATATTCTACACTTTTTTTGGTACGCTAAATTCAACATTTTATTTACAGAAAGTCATGACTTCAATTAACTGACATATCTGTCTTGTAACATTATGTCATGTCAAATAGGCAATTTGAAAAAAATTGACATTTTCAATCCACTTTATATAAAGATCAACTGGATTCACAAGTGACACTTACCTTGTCAGGAACTTTGTATTCTGACCGCCTATTCACCACGTCAAGGTCACCCTCGGGTTGTTCAGGTTGGGAAGGCAGAAGAGAAGGGAGAGTTGAGGGGCCGGTGGTGAGAAAGGCTTCCATATCGATTATGCGCGCCTCGCCGTGGGTACGAAAACGCTTTGAAGGGGACCAGAGACCTTGACCTCCACGGGTACTCGCAGACATTCGAAGAGAGTAGTCAGTACCCTGCATCAAATCTGAAATGTAAGCACAGAAGAAAAGTGAATGCAATCGATTAACTGACTAATACCCTTGTCCGCCACGTCACCAACAAATTAATCGTCAATGCAATATATCTATTATTCAACAAAAATTAAGGTATAATATTAATAGAAGGAAAATTTGTCGACTTTTTGTTTTGATAACATCACACGCTACCAGTGGGAAGAAGGCGAAAAGTCAAGCTCAAACTAATAGTTGCGTATAATTTAGTTATGACAGTTATGCAATGGTCAGCACTCAGCCAATTCGGACACGCGATGCCGTTGATGGGTGAATATCTCCAATTGGAAAAGGAGAAGGTAGTCACAACATACACTCACCCACACACACAACTTTAGTTCTCCAGTAAATGGAATTCAGCGTCTCAGGTCAATAGAAGGGGAGGTGAATTGTGGTCAAAGGTATTTGTAACAAATGGCAGGCGTTTTGATAGTTATCATTAGCCCTTTAGTTGACTTCGGGCTTCACAGAGGGGAGGAGGAACATCAAAGTGAGAATAATTCAGGGGGGGGGGAATAGAAGGGTGTTTCAAAGATGTAAAAGAAACAGACGCAAAGGCTCAGAAAGGGTAAGATGAGTAGTGGTAGGGGTCGAATATGACATACAGTGGGGGTGATGGTTGTTTGAAGTGAGAAGCCAACTGCTGATTAATAGAATTTTTTGCCGCATGAGTATACGTTGCCCAGGGTGCACCACGTGGAGGTAAGTCTATCGCACACCCCGTGGTCAAAGGTATGAGTGAGTGAAATCGAAGAAGGTACACATATGTGGGAATAGTTCCCCTATCTGGGGAACAGATGATCCAAAGCTTCACTAAATGTCTAGGATTACATATCACCGAAGAGATAAATGCAATTTGCTTAAAATTTTACAATTTATAAAACTGAGTTAAGATTTGTGCTAAGAGACAAGAGAAAAGACTTGATCTGCATTTTGGAAGCATACGAATACCTTAGTTCATATAAGAAGCAAAAAAACGCTAGCAAATGTTTTGGTGCTGGGGTGTGCGATAGACTTGCCTCCACGTGGTGCACCCTGGGCAACGTATATTCATACGGCAAAAAGGTCTATTAACCGGCAGTTGACTTCTGGCTTTTAACTACCATCACCCCACTGTATGTCATATTCGACCACTTCCACAGTACTCACCTCACTTTGGTGCTCACTTTTGGTGCTCAAATTTCATGAGCTAACTCCAGTGTTCATGTTGCTTACCACATCGATAAATTTATACGAAGCTTAGACTTTGTAACGGCTTTACTTTTTTCTAAATATAGCACAGTTCACTAAGTGCTCTCAAAATGAAGTTTAATCGAAAACTAATACAAATTATTGCCTACTACGTGTCTCTTATTGACAGGGTGATAAATGCTCGTGTCACAATACCGGCTCTCACATCCAATGATGTGGACGGCTAATCACGCCAACTCATTTCGATCAGGATAAAGGGTGAAAGAATAACAGCCACTTGTGAGTGTGGCTCCGGAACGTTTGAAACACCCGATGGTAATAGCTAAGACTAAAGCAACTTAAATTGCCCATCTCAAACAGTTTCGATGAATGTATGCGTGCAATCAC